CACAACTCCTGATCAAGAGCAAAGCCAACAGACCCTGAGAAAAGAACAACCACTTAAAATGCACGGAGACTCCACACCAGTGATTCCTCCTCTGCTTAGAAGCCAGCCAAGGCTCCTGATGCTGCGATTGCTTGGTGGGAGGGCTGATGTCGGTGTCAGAAGAAGGGCCAATAACATGATACTTTTCCCAAGTACATCTTACATGGGCATTCTTACACCCACCAGTAAAATGCAGCCATCTCTGGGAGGGAACATAAGCAGCTGAGTAACAATGCACAAGAGTTAAGAACGTCAGTCTAGCCAATTCAACGTAAGTTGCCCGTGGCAATTTACGAAGGCCTAGTATATTAATTCCAAGATAGCCAACTGTTAGAATGGAGTTAAGGTTCAGAATATAAATCAGTCATTTAAGGATGATTTAAGGGTGATAAACATTAGAGACACATGATTAATCCAGAGAGAAGGTTACACTTCTAAGAATTCTACCACATTAACAGAGAAACGCACAATGAAGGCAATTAAGCAACCCTACCTCTGACCAGTATTGATGTCAGGTTATGATTTTAGTGTTTGCCATCAGTATGATTTAACCAAGGACATTTAAAGACACACTGAGGTTTTGCTCTTCTCTCATGACGGTGCGAAGGTCAGACTTAAGGCTGACAAGAGGTCCCAAACTCTGCACACTATGCAGGACACGGTACCTCCAAAAAAATGCATGGTGCCCCTTAGCACCAGAATAGGGAATTGATGGCAAGGGGAGAGTATTCAACATCACTTCTTGCTGAACCTGTGTTGTCAGGGAGCATTCCCAGCTACATAATGACTGGGCCCAAGCTTGCTTAGCCTGACCTTTGATGAGTGCACAAGACGAGATGATACAGATGAAGGACAGTAACTTTCTCCACAGTCTTTAAAAAAAAAAAATTCTTATCACTAATTTCCAACCCACTGAGGCCCAAACTCTCAGAAAGTAACACTACATGAAAATAGGTAGCAGGTTTTAAACAAACAAAAGGGAATATTTCTTCACACAACACACAGTCAACCTGTGGAACTCCTTGCCAGAGGATGGCATGAAGACCAAAGCTATAACAGGGTTGAAAAAAAGAACTAAACACATTCCTGGAGGTTAGGTCCAGCAATGGCTATTAGCCAGGATGCGTAGGGATGGTGTTCCTCGCTTCCATGTGTTAGAAGCTTAACCAACAGATTTTAGAACAGGGCTGGGCAAGATGCAGCCCAGGGGCTCGATCCGGCCCACCTAACACTTTGATTCAGCCCATGCACTGCATCTGGCTGCTTTCCAGGGCCGGATTACACAATAGGAAGACTAAGCACGTGCTTAGGGCACCAGCAAAGCAGGGGCCAAAAAAGAGATTTTACGGTAGAGTATTGTTTTTATTTTGAATTACATATGGGGGGGGAGGCACCATAATCTTTTCAGTGCTTAGGGCCTCTAAAGGTCTTAATCTGGCCCTGCTGCTTTCTATTTAGATCCTGCTGCCTGGGCCACCGAATTTCCATGAAGTGGCTTAGGCGGCAGGCTCCTATTTAAATGGCTCCCGGTCATGGCGTTACCCCAGAAGGGGCTGGAGTCATGAGCCCTTTAAACAGCCGCAGCAAACTTGAGTGGCTGCCAGGCAACGCAACAGCAGCGGGGCCAGGAGTTGCGTGCACTTCGCTGTGTTTTTAATTCAAAGCCTCTAGCCCCAGAGTATTCTGGGGGGAGGCTAGTTCCTAGCCCCACCTCTTCTACCCTAGGCTCCGCCCCTTCAGGGGGTGGAGCCAGCTCACGACCACATACCGCTGTTAGGCGGGCCAAGTACCCACAGTCAGGTCCCGAGGTGCAAACTTTAGCTGCCCAGTGTTACAGGGCACTTGGAAAAGCACGGTTCCCAGAGCTACATTACAGAATGAAACGGCTTCCTGGTGCATTCAGTGGACTTCAACACAAGGTTCTGCAGCCAGCATATAAGCGCCTCTTGCTGCTCTTTACAAGAGCTGATAGTGGTTTCTGAGCTGCTTTCGCCAAAGCACAAGAGTTTTATCAGAGGGGCCCCTTGTGGAAAAGGCACACGAACGTGCCAGCTCAGCTGTGCCACACTTGAGATCTGCAGATACAATGGTGCGATTTATTGTGCAGATGTCTTGGGCTGTTGGTGAGGAGCAGTGCTAATGTGGGAGCAGGCACAGGATGTCAGGGGCCGCGTACGTAGTATTCCCAACATTCCCAACAAGCTCGGGCTCCGTGCAACGATTGCTCCCCAAAGAGCCCCAGAGCCCCTTGCACTGAAGCAAACTGTGAAATCTTCGGCACAGCAGCCTCAGGACAAGCAGGCTATATTTAGCGACTGCGTTTTCACACTGCCCAGGTTCAAATGTGTCATTACAGCAGAGGACGGCGTTTCTATGCACGAGCGAGGATGTAAGTCACTGAGGCAGGCCTGGAGGATGAAGGCTGCTGTGACGTGGCTTTTCACTGGGCTCAGACAGGTCTCTTTGGAAACTGGATGCAAGTTTGCCCAGTTCTTTTGGGGATGGAAAAAGGGAAAACGGAATAAACCGTAACCTGCTGTACTGAAGAGTATTTCTGAATCCCTCTTCAAGACCCACTCATGCGGCGATGTCCAAAAGATCAGCTAAATCACTGGTGGCCAGAAAGTAGATCCCGTACTTTATAATAACAAAGGGCAGAGTGCAGAGAGGGGCATGGGCACGCGTGCACTACTGCAAGGTTAATAGATAAAATCCCTGCTTCGTTCGAGAGAGCTGGAAGTGGGGTTGCAGGCTCTATTCCCAGGCCTACAGAGGACTCGCTCCGTTACTCCAGGGCAAGTACTGTTTGTTCCTCTGTGAAGTATGGCGGTGAGATGTCGTGTGATTGAATAGTCGTGTAACCACATGAAATCGTAGCGGTTAATAGTACCTGGGGACTGGGCTGCCAGCCCCACTCCTGGGGAGCCCCTTGCCAACCCACACTGCTGCCTCTTTATCAGAGGCAGCAACGCAGGTGGGAGCCTGTCCACAAGGGGAGCCAGTTTAAAAACCAGCTCCCCTCACAGACCTGTTGCCCTTTGCTGCTGTCTCTAACACAGAGGCAGCAGCACACGGTTGTAGCAACCCCTGTCTGGGGATGGGGTCTGAGTATCCAGACCCAGCATGAGCCAGAACTGAGTTGGGCTAGCGGCCTGCCTGGCTCCTAATATACTTTAAAGGTAGAACCACAGCAGGGGAAACTCCCAGACCTGGCGCAAACCAGGACTGAGCCAGGCTGCTAACCAGCCTGCTAAAAATTTACTGGCTGCGGGGGGGGGGGCTCCCCTGTCCCGCTTCCTCTGTAGGAGGCAGCAAGTGCAGAGGAGGCAGATGCGGGGAGCTTGCTTGAAAGCCAACTCCCTGTGCTTCTTGGCTCCAGCCTGCCCCCTCACAGCTGCTTCTCTATCGAGTCAGTAGTGCGGGGGGTGGGGAGGGCAGATGGATCTGGTACTTGTGGGGAGCTGGTTTTTAAGCCAGCTCCTCACTGGCACTGGCTCCTGCTCCCCCCTGGTTGCTGCCTCTGTTCCAAGGTAGCAAGTGGGGGGAGTACGCAGTAGCGGCACGTTACGGCACAGGGAACCCCGGCATCGCGGCTTGGCCCTTTCTTTGCTGGAGGGAGCAGCCAGTGTTTACTACCCAGATGACCACTCCAGACAGAGGGGCCTGGCATCTGTCCTTTGTCCCTGGGTCCAGAGACAATCCGATCTTGGCTGCTTCCAATCATGCGAAACGTTTCCGGGATATAAAATATATCTGCAGGACAGAATAGGTCATGGGGGTGGGAGTGGCACTATATGTGAAAGAATGTAGAATCAAATGAAGGAAAAATCTTAAATGAATCACCATGATCCATAGAGTCACTATGGATAGTAATTCCATGCTCTAATAAGACTATAACTGTAGGGATCTATTATCGACCACCTGACCAGGACAGCGATAGTGATGTTGAAATGCTAAGGGAGATTAGAGAGGCTATCAAAAGAAACTCAATAATAATGGGGGATTTCAATTATCCCCATATTGACTGGGGACACGTCACCTCAGGACAAGATGCAGAGATAAAATTTCTCGATGCCTTAAATGACTGCTTCTGGGAGCAGCTGGTACA